AGCAAGATACCTTAAATTACAAGGCAATCTTAGGAGGTAAGACTGAATATCTGTTATAGAAATACCCTACTCTTTCCCACCTCCCACCTGCCCCTACCCTTTTAAAATCAGAAACAGCTCTCTTCTGTGAAAAATAATGTAAAAACTTTGTAAAAAAAATTATTTGGCATATCCCGTGGTCCAGTGTCTGGCCTTTCTGTCATGTTCTGCTCTTTTGGTCATACACTGAGTGGCAATGCTTTGACCAAAGGGCAAGCAGGATTAAAGTCTGTAAGAAATGAGTAGCTAGAAAGGAGGACCTAAGAAATAGTTAGTGGTGAACTCCAATTATCTTTCAATATGTCCAAGCCAATAACTCCTTGATTGTTTATAATACCGTGATGGATTCTTGTCTGAACTGTTACTTTGGGAGGCTTGAAGAGATATTCTGGTATAAATGTGATGTCAAAAATACACTCCCCTCATAATCAGATCCTGGAGGCCCTGGAATGGTTGATCTCCATTGACAGATGTTACCTCCTTTGGGACCAGCACTACACTTAGGTGGAGGGTCTAAAGTCCTTCTAATTCTTCTTGGCGCTGGTGGAGAGGAGTTTGGAGTTTTTACTCATGCTGACTTTACTTTCTCTCTTTGAGGACAAAGATGAAGAGGAGCTGGTGCTGGCCCTTGATTCATCATCTAACAGCAAACCCCTACCCCACCCTACCAATAGCCCCTCTCTTTGTGTCTGGCTCCTCCACGCCACCTCAGTGACTGCTGCTGGAGCTGTGGCTGGGCCTAATCTCTCGTGTCTCACTCAGTCACTGGGAGAGAAGTAGATGTCCAGCAATAGTAACTATTAAACAGGTGATCTGTTTTGATTTTTCTAATATTTTTATTGCTATATAATTCAAATATCATATGGTTCCATAGTTCAAGCATTTTCAAAGAGAGTTGTATACATATCACTAGAGGCAGTTCTCGGAATTCTCCCCTCCTATATTCATTATTTGCTCCTCCTTTTACTCCAGCCTTCAATCATCCATTTTCCCAACAGCCATCCATTACACCAATTATTGTCCTCTATAAATCTGCCCCTCCTGTGCTTCATACACTGGGAAACATATAAAACACAGAAAAGAAAATAGTAAATATAGTTTTAAAAAGAAGAAAAGTCCATCGGCAATATTAAAATAAACCAGAGGGGAAAACATCTGTCATCAAGAAACATTTAAAACAAGAACAAATCCAAAATGGGTCAAGAGGGAAATCAAATGACATGGTATCACATTATAACTGTGGTAGTTACATAATTTCATGTCAACTTGATAAATAGAAGAGGTGCAGTTTAGCCTGATGATACCTCTTGGTAGGCATGACCTTCTCTTGAGGATTCTTGGGACTACTTCTTTCTCCCTGGAGGTGGGCACACTCTCTCCCTGCTTCACAATCCTGTTGACAAGCCATATGGAGCCACACTGATGGCAGCCAGAGCCCTGGAGATGTGTCCACTGCCATTAGATGCACAAGACTTTGTACGCACCAGCCTGTGCTTCCTGCATTCAGCATCACTGCATGTGCTACATGAGTCTGAAGAGGAATTTATGGACTAGTATCGGATATATGAGCTAATATTGGACTTGGTCTGGACTGGGCTGTTTTCTCCATATATAATTGCTCTTTAATATAAAGCTCTCTCTTACACACACGAGTGTCTCTGGATTTGTTTCTCTAGTCAACCCAGACTAACACAATAAGCTGGTTCCATCTACCATAATCAAGTTTACTATAGTCTGTCTGATAGCAAGCTTATTTGTATCTCTCAACTGTGGTCAGAGGGGATCCAGCAGAGGCTTAATCCATGTAGGTTCCTACAGGTGGATTTTGAGCTCCACTGTCATCCAGACCTTTCTGAAACACAACTTAAGCTCTGAAACCTTTCCCTCCTTAGTACTGAGATTGTTATTCATCCTCTGTGGATTACACAGGCTGGGGTGCTTCTTCCCATGTGGATTTAGTTGTGTCTCACACAGACGGCTGCTTGTTTGAATATAAGTCTGTCAAATCCTAGACACTATTCTTTTTGATCGCAGGGCACCATTATTCACCACACTTTACTATAGCATTCAGATCTTCAGTGATCTCTTCTGAAGGGTCATGTTATAAGAACTAATTGTTCTTGGATTGGAGATAGAATTAAGTGAGAGCCTAGCAAGTCCATTCATTTGTCTTCAGATTATATACAACTCTGGTTCACTTTAAAGGTCTCTATCATTTTATGACAAAACATTATCAATCACCCCCCAGGGCATAAGACAGTGTCATTAATATATCTAATGGCATAGACATTTTATTATACTGTTGAGAAAATGCAACTAGACAAGTATAGCCCAGCTCCTAACCACAACCCATGAGTTGTTGATTTGTGCAGACTGAACTCTTAAATGATTGAATCTGTTTACATTGGTCATGGGGGTTTTGCCAGGTCTTCTGATCTCTTAACTGCTGCTTCTATGAGCACTGATTGTGGATTCAAGCAAGACAAAATTCTTGACAACGTCAACGTTTTCTCCATTTGTCATGTTACCTAAATGGTTGAACTGTGAGAACTTTTGTATTCTTTATATTGGGTTGTAATCCCTATTGAAGGCTGCAATACTTGATCTTCATTAGTGTTTCAAGTCATTACTTTCAGCAAGCAAGGCTGTTTTAGCCTTCCTCCAATCCCAATGCTGCATTCTTCTTCATATAACCCAGCCTCTCTGATGATTTGTTCCAGCATACAGCTAGAATATGTGTGGTGAGAGGATACAACCCTGACACACACCTTTCCTGGTTTTAAACAATGTGGTATTAGCTTGTTCTGTTAGCACAACTGCCTCTTGATCCATGTACAAGTTCTTCAGGAGCACAATGAAGTGTTCTGGAATTCCCATTCATGTCAAGGTTATCCAGAGTTTACTATGGTCCACACAGTCAAATGCCTTTGCATAGTCAATGAAACACAGTTAACATCTTCCTGGTACTCTCGACACTCAACCAAGATACATCTGACATCAGCAATGATTTCCCTTGTTCCATGTCATCTTCAGAATCTGCCCTGAACCTCTGGCAGCTCCCTGTCAATTTGCTGCTGGAACTGTTGAATGATCTTCAGCAAAATTTTATTTGCATGTGATATCAGTGATACTGTTCTATAAAATGAGCATTCTATTGGGTTCTTTCTTTGGAATGGGTACAAATATCTCAGTCAGTAGGCCTAGTAGCCGTCTTCCAAATTGTTTGGTAACGATCAGTAAATGCCTAATTTGGAGAGTAGATCAGGGGTCCTAAAAGCTTGGAAGCATGGGGTAAGTACTGTGATGCATTGTGGGAATTTCACTGACTGAGAAGCAAAATGTATGTAGTGTTGAATGTAAAACTGATGATCTTCTCTGTAAACCTTCACCAAATTCACAGTAAAAAGTTTAAAAAGAAAAACAGCAAAATCATGTGAGAAAAAAAAACTGTGATAAAATTATTTGGTATCTACTAATCTAGACCAAGAGAGACAGAAAATAATAACTCCCAAGAACAAAGTTTAATAAAACTAATGGTTTAGACCAGTGTTTCCTAAAGTGGGTGATACTGTCCCCTGGGGAACACTAGAAAGATCCAGGGAGTTTACAAAGCAGATACCTATACTTTATCCTGGATTATGAACTACAGCACAAAAATTTTTAACTGCCAGAAGGTACTGAATAATGTGGGGATTTTGTCCTGCTCAGGGGGCAAAAGGCCTATATTTCACTTGGGGAAACAATGGTTTATATCAATCACGACCATAGCAGTTACCAAAAGGCTAATTTTTCTTGCATACATTTTTGTGGCACTAATTACTTTTCATCAGCTGGTGCAGACTTCTCCCTCAGTCAGTGCTTCTTTTCCCAGCACCATAAACAGTTGAGTGTCTACACGACACCAAAAGGGCAGTGTGTGCCCAGAAACAAAGCTCCAAAGGCACACCGGAGCCGGACGGACAAATGAAGATGGGGAATACAGGGAGAGAGGGGAAAGAGTGCTATTACACTGAAGATTTGTAACCTATGTCACAACACAAAAGCGGTGTGTGTGCACCATGTATTACTTTTCATTCACTGATTGGCACTTAGGTTGTTTTCACTGTTTGGCGACTGTGACTGGTGATATGATGAACATGGGTATACATGCCTGTCTATGTTAGTTCCATTAGATCCCTAGGCTAGATATTTGGGAGTGGAATTCCTGGTTCATATGGCATCTAGTTTTATGAGAAACCACCAGACTATTGTCCACAATGGCTTCACTGTTTAATAGTTTCATCAGCCATTTCTCCACATCCCTCCAACATTTATAATTTTCCTAACTTTAAAAACATTTTTAGCCAATCGAGAAGTGAAATGTTATTTCACTGTGGTTTTGATCTGTATTTTTCTGACTTTGAGATGAGTTAACTTCTTATGTTTCAGTTGGTCATATTTATATATATCCTCTTTGGTGAAGTGTCTGTTCATGCTCTTTGCCCTGTTTCTTCATTGGAACTTATCTCTTTAAGCACATTCTATCCTATCCTCTCTTAGGAGATAAGTTGGCTTTAATTTTGTAAACCAGATGATGAACACTTTTGACCAGGGAGATAGTTTATAAAAAGAATTGTGTTACCTAAAATTTTATAGTTGTCTACATCTCTTTTAATTTACCCTAATTTTTAAAAGGTTTTAATAATCAAAATATACTAACATACATGATACAGAAAAATCTTAGATTGTTTATTTTTAATAAGAAATTTCTAAAATTATTCTAAATAGACCTGTTAAAAATTGAGTCTTACTTACAGGCTTTTTCTTGTTACCGAAAGGTTTTACATCTATTTTAAAAACCTTTCAAATAAATATTAATATTTCTCATAACATTAACATTTGCATGTTTTTAGACAAATTAGGTAACAGTAATCAAATGGTAAAAAGTAGGATATATTTACTTTCTCTACATAAACATATACCTGAGTCATCAGCCAATCTGCTAATTCTCTCCAAAACAGCAATACAATCTCTTTCATCATCGCTGACTTCCCTCAACGTATCCAGCAAACTTCGGGCCACCATTTGTCTATATAAAACAAGGAAATTAGAAAATGCTCAGTGGCAATAAAAATTAACATTTGGAATTTTAAAAAGAACAATTTTTTTCAATTATACACACAATGTCCTAAGTACTACATGTTAGTACTGATTTTATTTTAATGAGATGAGATTGAATGTTTACAAAAATTTTTGTTCTCATCTTCATGTTAGCAAATTTCTAAATTCAACAGAAACTCATTTTAAACAATTATCACTCACTCCTTTACCTTAATACTTAAAATATACACCCACTCTTTCTTATATAAAATGTATCTTTATAAATATTTACTAATATGAGTCATGTATACCTATAATCAAATATTTTGAGCAAATACTTTATTTCCCAGAAAACCCTGATATAGGTGGTCTGGGGACCATAATTGAAAGAACACTACTTTAGGAATAGTGTTAGCTGTTGGTCACTGTTGTAATCCAATCCCCTTGTATATCACTTAGCACTTACATAATAGTTAAAAGAGTGATTGCCTCTTCAATAGCCAATAAACACAAATAACAAAATATGCTAAATATCAAAAAATTAATAGTTTCCCACCACCACTATGAAAAAGTAAAGGAAGTATAATATGCTTATGAGTATCAAGGAGTAGAAAGTATAAAATAGGCCATGTCTGTAACTATTAATTAAGCTTGGAGACTCAAATTGTACATGTTAATAATACCTACCCAAATTGGATAGTTTTATTTTTCCCTACTCATATTAATATAAAAAAATATCCGTCCACTTCTCCATCAAGAAATGAGTAGGCACACACCTGTTAAATATGTTCTCACTTGCAGCATACTTGTCCAATCTTCCCAGTGGTGTCAACATTTCATCTTGTGAGACAAAGTCCAGGGCTGAAGGTATAATAATCACATCAGACTCTGAGCTGTAGTCATCCACACCAACTATCAGAAACATCAGAAATACTCCTTATAACACCTTGAAGCTAAAATGCACCCCTCTCCCCCTCTGAAGTTAAACTGCCCATGACATTTCTAAAGTGGTACAGAGAGTCACAAGGGAATCGATTTATTTGTTATAAACAACTGAAGGGTGTCCTCCCCTTTTTCTACAGACATTTTCTAGTTGTTCCTAGAAGCAGAGGGATCAGAATCTACAGAAACTCGGTATGGGGGAAATAGTAATTAGAGATGTACAACTTACTTTCAAGCAGAGCACTAGTAACATAAGTATCAATAAATAAAATCCTACAGTGATAGCTAATAAGTCTGAACTAGGTGCCAAGTACTAGGTTGCATGCTAAGAAACAATAAAAACACTAAGTTCTCTGCTTTCAAAGAACTACTATTCTATTGCAAAACAAAACAAAAGATTTTAAGGTGATCATTGTAAAGGAAGGTAGGTAGAAACTACAATGCCAAATATGCATTCAAGGTATAGGAATAGGAAGGAAAATCACTAACTAGCAAAACCTAAATAGGAAGTAATGGTCTCAGACGAATGTACATGCAAAGAGAACTTAAAAGTATGGTTAAATAGCATCAGCATCTACAGGAGCTCCGGTGACATAGTGGGTTACAAGTTGGGCTGCTAATGCTAACCTCAAGGTTTGAAGTTTGAAACCAGCAAGCACTCCCTCAGTGAAAGATGCTCCTATAAAGAGTAACAGCCTTATAAATGCAAGGGGGCAGTTTTACCTTGTCTGACGTATCACTCGGTGTCAAAATCAACTCTGTAGCAATGAATTTACTATCAAGAGTCAAGGAAAAATGGTTCTCTGTGAATTTGGCATTACTGCATCACACTCTCTTACCTACTGCATGCAACAAGGCCAAGTCTCAGCGGTGTGGAAGCAGAGAAGCCAAACTAGAGTGACTAAAGAAGCACTGCTGTCAAGCCGATTCTGGTGACTGTAAGACTGTGAGACAGGGTGAAACTGTCCCCGCGGGTTTCTGAGACTGTAACTGTTTACGGTAGTAGAAAACCTTGCGCCTCTCTCTCTCTCTGTCTGAGCAGCTGGTGGTTTTGAATTGTTAACCTTGTGGTTAGGATCCCAATGTGTACCCACTACACCCCTAGAGCTCCTTAAAGAGGGCATGCAAAATATAAGGAAGTGAAATCAAAGGGTGTACAATATGTGTCCTAGAACTGTGGCTATCAAATAATAGATTTCAGGAGGGTACCCCCCCAAAACACAGAATGTTCTTTCAAAGCTATGTGTTGGGTTTTGTTTGTTTTTTTAACAAAACAACCTATCATCTTGAAAAGTACTCTCCATTTCACTTAATGCATTTGTCAAATCGGCAATTCCATTCTTGGAAACATTTTCAAATTCATCTGTTTGGATGGCTGACAGCACCTCCCTCGTTTGTTTGTTTTCCTTCAACATCAAATCACTGTCCTTTCATGTCTCTCTTCATTCACGGAAACAAAAAGAAGTCTCACAGGGTGAGGTGGAACAAACTCCAAATGCACTACCCCCTCCCATCACATCCTGTGTTTTGGAGAGCATCCCCTCACACAGTATTAACCAGGGATATAAAGCCCCCCCCAAAAAAAGTGTTACTTTTCATTTTGTTTCTAATGTTTAAAAAAGAAAAGATTTTTTAAATGTTCTGATGTTGAAACTAGTCAACACATTGATTCTCTGGGAGGAAGATAATACACTTAATGAAACTAATATGAGGCTGGAAAAGATGGATTCTAGAGCTCAGGTAGATGGATCATATTTAAATAAAAGCTTTTTAATCTTTCAGGGGCTTTCTCAAATACCTGAGAGCTTTCAAAGAAATTATTTTCCTATTTTCATTTACTGATACTTTCTATCTTATTTCCTCTTAAATACTTCAGTCTCCCTTATTATTTCTTTTAACAATAGGATAGAGGTTCCACAGGGTGAAGAATTTTGCCTTGTTCAAGACTTTCTTCACAAAACGTTTTATGATACAGAGGCACTTAAATGTTTTGAAATTAATCTATTGATCACCCACAATTGGTGCTTTTATCTCTGTGCTAGCTTTGTTTAGATACACAAGAAAACTTCCCAAATGCTGCCATATAAATAAAAAAACCCATAATTTCCTAAGCCAACTCCCAATTATACTGCTTTTATAATAACCCTTTTAAAAAGCCCATATCTTAAGTAAGTGAATATAACAGGCTCATCTGGTCGAACTACTTTGAATACAATTAGAAAACTATTTTATTACACTCAGCTTAAAACTGTAAGAAAGAGAATACACATTACAACTTATGCTTTTTAATCTACTAGGCCCTATAGAATCACAATGAGACTGGAATCAACTTGAAAGCAGTGTGTTTGGTTTTCAGCATATTTTATTTTTGTTTTGATAATTTACAATCATGAATTAAATCAAACGACATGTCAAATTGGCTAGTCCAAAATTTCCAGTATTGTGTGGTTGTCTAGGATCCACATTTTTTATTTTATGAAAAACAAGAGAGGCAAGCAGAGAGGGAGGGATCTAACTGATACCAAGAAAAAAGACTGGGGATGCAGTACGTCCTTTGAACCAAGGGTCCTGGCACTGAGAAATTCCAAGACCCATGGAAGATTGATGCCAAGATTCATGGAGATCTCTAAGGAATGCCAGGCTCAAAGATACTGAGTAGAGCCAAGGACCTTTTTCCTAGACCTGGTGCACTAAATCTAGCCTCCAAATTGTGAAAAAATCATTTTTGTTGTTAAAGCCATCCCGGTATTTCCATAATGACTACAGTATAGATACCAAAAACAGAATTTTGTACTGTAAGAGTGAAGTGTTTTTCTAGACACCTAAGTACTGAGTACAGCTAGAGAAATTATAAGTCACCAAAATTTAATAGTCACCAAAGATAATGTGATTGGGTAACTTTGCTGCACAGACCTCTTCAGAGTGTCGAAAAGCAAGGATGTTACTTTCAGAACTAAAGCATGCCTGACCCAAACCATGATATTTCCAATAGCCTCATATCCATGTATAAATTGGACAATGAATAAGGAGTACCAAAGAAGAATTGATATATTGGAATTATGGTGCTGCAGAAGAAAATTAAATACCATCGACTGCCAAAAGAACAAACAAATCTCTCTTGGAAGAAGTATAGCCAGTATCAAAAGGTACAGTGTCTGGGGTCTTAAAAGCTTGAAGGTAAACAAGTGGCTATCTAGCTCAGAAGCAACAAAGCCCACATGGAAGAAGCACACCAGCCTGTGTGATCACGAGGTGTCGAAGGGATTAGGTTTCAGGCATCAAAGAACAAAAAATATTACCATAGTGAATGATGGGAGGAGTGTGGAGTGGAGACCCAAAGCCCATTTGTAGGCCACTGGATATCCCTTTGCAGAGGGGTCTCAGGGAGCAGACGAGCCAGTCAGGGTGCGATGTAACAACGATGAAAAATACAACTTTCCTCTAGTTCCTAGATGCTTCCTCCTCCCTCCCACCACCACTATTATGATCCGAATTCTACCTTGCAAGCCTGGCTGGACCAGAGGATGTACACTGGTACAGATAGGAACTGGAAACACAGGGAACCCAAGGCGGATGATCCCTTCAGGACCAGTGGTGTGAGAGGCGATACTGGGAGGGTAGAGGGAGAGTGGGTTGGAAAGAGGGAACCGATTACAAGCATCTGTATGTGACCTCCTCCGTGGGGGACGGACAACAGAAAAGTGGGTGAAGGGAGACGTAGGACAGGGCAAGATATGACAAAATAACAATTTATAAATTATCAAGGGCTCAGGAGGGAGGGGGAGGGGGGAGCGGGGAGGGAGGGGAAAAAATGAGGACTTGATGCCGGGGGCTTAAGTAGAGAGCAAATGTTTTGAGAATGACGACAGCAATGAATGTACAAATGTGCTTACACAATTGATGTATGTATGGATTGTGATGAGTGGTATGAGCCCCTAATAAAATGATTTTTTTAAAAAAGTATAGCCAGAAAGCTCCTTAGAGGCAAAGTTGGTGAGACTTTGTCTCATGTACTTTGGACATGTTGTCAGGAAGCAACCAGTCTGTGGGAAGGACATAAGTCTTGATAATACTCGGGCAACAAAAAAAGGAAAATCTTCAACAAAATGGACTGACACAGTGGCTGCAACGAGTTCAAACATAAGAGCAATTGTGAGAATGGCGCAAGAACAGGCAGAGTAAGGGGAGCGGGGAGGGAGGGGGAAAATGAGGACCTAATGCCGGGGACTTAAGTGGAGAGGAAATGTTTTGAGAATGATGAGGGCAGTGAATGTACAAATGCGCTTTACACAATTGATGTATGTATGAATTGTGATGAGTCACATGAGCCCCTAATAAAATGATTTTTAAAAAAAAGAAAATAATGATGGCAACATATGTACAAATATGCTTGACACAATGGATGGATGGATGGATTGTGATAAAAGCTGTAAGAGGCCCCAATAAAATGTTTTAAAAAGAAAAAAAAAAGAAATAATCTCTAGTCACTAAAAACAGAATGTAGCTAGAAATGTGGTATTAATGTACATCTGGTGGAGCTTTAAAAGAAGATGATGACCATGTAATGGACAATGGAAGGAGGACAAAATGGGGGTTTTTTGACAATACATTTTAAGCAGTAGAAAAAAACCTTGTCTAAATACTTCCAATGTTTGTTGAAAGGTAAAACTTTTCAGTGATAAAGTTGGTTATGTAACAGATATCTATGTAAAATCTTATAAGGACCACATAGCTTCTCCTTGCTGCTTACGTGAAAATGTAAGAGAAGATAAATGAACTGTAAACAGAACTTAAAGATTTAGAAAACCATGTTGTACAAGCTAAGAATGTGTCCAAGATTGGATAGAGTCAATCATTAAAGCCCTTCTAGTCATAATCCCTTGTGTTAAACATTATAAATTCTAGTTTCTGCGCCTGTGGTTATAATCCCATTTTGGAAAGAATTCTCTGCTATGCTAATAG